CTCTGTTGTTGGTCTGTAGGCACTCCTGTCTGCTCTGATCTAGAGGAGCTCTGTACCCGTTTCTTTGCGGCTGCCCATGTGGATCGAATCTTTCTGCCTGCCGGCTGGCCTTGTCTGTACTGTAGACACTAGTGGCAACTGGCAAGGCATTAAAAATTTCACAATGCAATTTTCTTAATGTCTTCGATACAAACGAGGGAGAAGTTCGCCTCTTGCATTTCCCCCCACTCTCATCCAATCTTCAACCTTTGATTGCACTGTGATCTGGTTCTAATCCGAGTTGGCACGGACCAGGTGGAAATGATGGATCTCGCGGACAACCGGCAGCGGCTCATCGCCGGCGCGGCGCTGCTGGTGGCCACCATCGCCTTCATCAAGCTCCTCCTGCGGTCCGGCTCCCGCGGCAAACGGCTGCCGCCGACCATCCCCGCGGCGCCAGTGGTGGGCGGGCTGGTCCGGTTCATGCGCGGGCCCATCCCCCTGATCCGGCAGGAGTACGCCCGCCTCGGCAGCGTCTTCACCGTCCCCATCCTGAACCGCAAGATCACCTTCCTGATCGGCCCCGAGGTGTCCGCGCACTTCTTCAAGGGGAACGAGTCGGAGATGAGCCAGCAGGAGGTGTACCGGTTCAATGTGCCGACGTTCGGCCCCGGGGTCGTGTTTGATGTGGACTACTCCATCAGGCAGGAGCAGTTCCGGTTCTTTACCGAGGCCCTCCGTGCTAACAAGCTCCGCAGCTATGTCGATCAGATGGTTGCAGAGGCTGAGGTGAGAACTGCTTGTATTTGTCGATCTATAGAAATTTTAATTTTGACGAATGTAGTTATATTCACCAATTGTGAAGCGTGATCTTTGTTCCTTTGTGTGAGTAGACCATAGAACATAGACTTTGTTGGGTATTAGTTCTTAGATGAATCTTAGTTCACTTGCCGATCATTTAATCAAAGATAAAATCTGTATGGTAGTTTCATCCATTACAAAGGTCTTTCTGTAGCCTTGATAGATTTGGATTTTTGGATCTGAACGGTTAACTTTAGTGTAAGTGTGATATTTAGTGGGAGGTGCAAAAGCCATATAGTCAGATGCAATTTTGGAGCATTTTACTTGACTTGATTCTTTTGGGAAGTTTGTTATGCCAATAGAATCATGTGGCAGCTGTCATTTGTCTATATCTAGTCCATTCTGAAAGTTTTATAATGGCATGAGTGCCACCTTTGCAACCTTCTGGAACTAGTAAATAGCTTTTTGGATGTCAATCGTGCAGTGCTGTTGTTTAGTCGGCCATTTCTGTCCCTTTTCTTTGATGCTTTTCTATGTCCCTTTAGTTCTTTAGAATAAAGCTGGCAGTTGCATATGTATGTGGTTGAAGTTGACATTCTGGTGTCTTGAACTGCTGATGATACAAGTTTATAGTGTTTTAGGGTCTTTCTGCCTTTTGTGGAATGACCCTTAATCTATTAGCACCAGCAATACAATTTAGCTTCTTGGACATGGTTTTCTGTCATCTGGAAATGGAAGCTGGCGGTTTTATATTACTATATTGGTGGAAGAAAAGCTGGTTTTCTGTCGATTACATTTCATTTTTCTTATTTCCTTTTCCTTTTCTTGGTTTCATCAATAATTGAATAGGAAAAACATTTAAGTAGCTAGGCTTGTGAATTGTGAAAGAAAAAAAGACGAGGATCTTTATGGCTGTGAACGCTATGAATAACATGATAAATTGCTATGACATTCTGCATGTTGGCACATACTGCACAACATTATCAGTGCTTCTACACTACAGGCAGCTTTACTTTTTTTTTTTCAATTGCTTTTAACATTAATAATCAACCCACCAGAGGTTCATGAAAATGCAGGGCATTTCTGTGTTATTACTTATTAGCTGCCGCACATCTAGCTTACCGCTCAGTGCTCTTCTCCCTCTTAGTAACATCATGCTGAGATTTTATCCCTGTTAATGTTAATTCCATTTCTTTTCTTAAATATTTATTTGTCTGTGTTGATTTGTTTAAATGTTTTCATATATGTTTGGTGGTTAATCTCATCTTCGAATCCAACCTTACCTGCAGGAGTACTTCTCAAAGTGGGGAGAAAGTGGCACTGTGGATTTGAAGTATGAGCTGGAGCACCTCATCATATTGACTGCCAGCCGATGTTTGTTAGGAAGGGAGGTGCGAGAAAAACTCTTTGACGATGTTTCTGCTCTCTTCCATGATCTTGACAACGGGATGCAGCCAGTCAGTGTCATCTTCCCCTACCTCCCTATCCCTGCACATCGGCGCCGTGACCAGGCACGTGCACGTTTGGCAGAAATCTTCGCCACAATTATCAAGTCTCGCAAGGCCTCTGGACAGTCTGAGGAAGACATGCTGCAGTGTTTCATTGATTCCAAGTACAAGAATGGACGCCCCACCACAGAAGGTGAAGTGACTGGTCTACTTATTGCCGCACTCTTTGCTGGACAGCACACAAGCTCGATCACCTCGACCTGGACTGGGGCCTACATGCTCCAGTTCAAGCAATACTTTGCGGAGGCCGTAGAGGAGCAGAAGGAGGTCATGAAGCGGCATGGAGACAAGATCGACCATGACATCTTGGCAGAAATGGATGTCCTGTACCGATGCATTAAGGAGGCTCTCCGACTTCACCCACCGCTAATCATGTTGCTTCGCCAGTCGCACAACGACTTCAGTGTGACAACAAAGGAAGGCAAAGAGTATGACATCCCTAAGGGCCACATTGTCGCCACATCCCCAGCATTTGCCAACAGGCTGTCTCACATTTACAAGAACCCTGACTCGTATGACCCTCACCGGTTTGGACCTGGAAGGGAGGAGGACAAGGCTGCAGGTGCCTTCTCATACATCTCCTTCGGCGCTGGCAGGCATGGGTGTCTTGGGGAGCCCTTTGCCTACCTGCAGATCAAGGCGATCTGGACGCACCTGCTGAGGAACTTTGAGTTCGAGCTGGTCTCACCATTCCCGGAGAATAACTGGAACGCAATGGTCGTCGGCATCAAGGGCGAGGTGATGGTGAACTACAAGCGGCGGAAGCTCGTCGTCGACAACTAAAAGGACAGCTGTATCTTAGGATGTTTGTTTCTCGTCAGCTGCATCTTTCTTTTACCTGTTTGTCAGCATTTGTTCGCTGCAAATTGTGCTGTGTGCGTGCCATTTCTGTAGGGGTGTTTTTCATTATTTAGAATTCTGTAATTTGCTTCTAATTCGTTGAGAATTCCCCAGTGTTAACTTGTAGCATCAGAGCATAAGCCTCCAGTTGAAAATCATACTAGTGATCTGTCCCATCATTAGATGGCTTGGAACACAGAACTGAACAAATAATCATGTGTAATGAATGAATAAAACTCCAGTGTCCAGTATTAATCTGCCATACTGCTCAGGCACTTTGGCTCATTCTGTTTGGGTTGCTTATGCTGGATGTTGAATTGAGCTCCACAGGGGTTCCAGAATCTCCGTCTCACTTAAATGTAGGACGTGCAGATACGCTTTGCTGTGCGTTACCAGCTGCCTGAAATTTCATCACTTTCTAGCGTCCTCCATGTCTTTTATTTTGAACCATCCGTTCATGGCTGTCTAGAACTGACCACAGCTTCTTGAAACTGATATTCCGTGCCAAAGGCGAGGCGAGGCTTTCGCGCTAAGATCCACCGTCTCTGTGCACGCCATCAGAGATCATCCGTTGAATTCATGTGGCAAAGCAGATCCGAGAGGATTGCATACAGGTCTCCAGCCTCCAGGAGACACGGTGCTGATCCATGGCACCAGACACCATTGGTTCTTCTTCCACCACCTGAGAACCGGAAAACTGTTGATTCCGATTCCTCTGGAACTGAAAATCTCTCTGTGATGTCATCTGAAGATCGATCTGAATTTTCTGATTCTCCGTGCCGTTATTTGGCCAGGGTGGTCTGGTGCCGTTCTTAATTTGCTAGAGTTACTTACAATACAGTGTTACCGTACCGGTGACCACAGCAAGGGCATTTGGTCTAGTGGTATGATTCTCGCTTAGGGTGCGAGAGGTCCCGAGTTCAATTCTCGGAATGCCCCAAATTTTTGAATTTTTTTTTTTTAGAATTTCAAGTTCCTCTTCTGGAGCTTGACGCAGCTCTGCATATCTGCCATGCAATTTCACCCAAGCCAAGATGTAACGGTCTAAGTAATTACATTCCACACCACAAATAATAAAGTTTGATTTGATAAAGGAAAGACGCGCATAGCTGAAGATCCAACAAGACAGATACGATCAAAAGACGTGCAAAGCTGATGTCCTTTTTCACCTTTCACAAAAAAAAGACGAAGTCCTTTTCCACGAGCACAAACATGTCCAAACAACAAAGAATGCAACAAACAATCCGATGGGATCGATCATCTTGAATCAGCATGAAACGATTTGTCGTGCAGCTCGTGCTATACCCTTCGATCTTCTTCGTATAATACACAGTTTCCATGCTGAAAACGAACAAATACTACGTAGAAAAATCGCTACATGTATGCCGAGGCGTACGTGACGACGACGAGACAACCGCAGCTGACAATGCTGGCCAGCACGCCATCGCCGGCGGCCCTGTCCGTTTCCTGAGCCGCTGGAAACGCTGTTTGCTGCTCGGCGTCCTCCAACAGGATCGTGTCGTTTCAAAGTTGCAAATTCGTCGCTCGCCTTATCCGGGCCCGTTTCGCGGGTGGGCCCTCCAATCCTCTCCAAATCGCAAAGCGTGCCCGGAAAAGTTTATATGGCCATTGTTATCTCTTCGTACACTATCTCCGGGCCTTTGCTATCTATCTCTTCTTACACTATCTCTTTTATAACAAATGGATACAATTTGGTGCAAAGGCCATCCTTCTATTTCGCTCTAGACAGCCGTGCCTTATAAGCACTTCACCCATCATTATTGTTTCTTTTTTGCCTTGTTGATATAGCATGTTTAGATGACAATGTCAACGATTCAAGTTATCGAAACAATGTCTCTGCTATACGCGAAAGGGCCTCTAGCCTAGTGGTTAGAGCACCTGAGTAGCATCTAGCAGACCTGGGTTCAACTCCCCGTGGGAGCGAATAACCAGGCTAAAATAAAAAAAAAGTAAGAAAAAATAGGTTGGGGTTTCCCCTACTGACTTCGGTCAAAAAAAAAAAAATCTCTGCTATACATAACACCTCGATTTTGTAGCTGCATTGTAGATTTAAATTGAAAACAAGTGGTTAATGAGTTACCTGGTAACATAGGTACCGAGCTATGACCGCGACGAGCCAACCGGTTTGATTTTTCTTTTAGTTCTTATCTTACATTGAGAAACAACATGATTAGACAATAAAATGGAGGACCAAACTGATATCTTCTTTGAATAGTCGATTTTATTTTGAGCTATAATTTTTTATGGAACTATTATATGTTCTGTGACATTATTGTGTTTCAAGATAGGGGCTTAAACTCCGTCAAAAGAACATCAAACATTGCAAAAAAACAGAGGTTTCATCAAATAGTACGCGGAGTAGATTATTTATGTGAACAAACAAATACATACCGAGAATAATTTCGTGGATCCCGGGCCGTGACGGCGACGAGCCAACCGGTTTGATTCTTCATTCCATCGTTAACAACAAGATCAGATACAATAATATAAGGAGGACCAAACCAAAAACTCGCTCAATCGAATACGCAACATTGCAGAAATCACCCTCGCAGAGTCTGACGTGGCGCCGCGAGCGCGCAACTACTCGCCGCGCGGCGTTGCCCGCCTCCAGGTGGACCCCGCTCCCTCTGCTTGTCTTTAGCTTCTCTCGCTCCGCTACGCCGGCCGAAGTCACAGTCCACTCCCCCCCCCCCCCCCTCTCATCGACGACGAGCACCACTGCCTCGACCGCTCATCCGCGAAGCATCCGGCGGCCATGGGCCCCGTGCGGCTCCTCCTCCTCGTCGCCGTCGCCGCCCTCGCCGCCGCCGTCGGCGAGGCGGTGTACATCCCGTACAACACGTCGGCGGGGGTGGTGGCCGGGAAGCTGAACGTGCACGTGGTGCCGCACACCCACGACGACGTCGGCTGGCTCAAGACCGTCGACCAGTACTACGTCGGATCCAACAACTCCATCCAGGTGAGCCTCGTCTCTGCTCGGCTTGGCTCACTGCTGCTCCCCCCGATTTTACCGTGCGTGGGCTGTCCCCGATTTTCGGATGGTATTTTGAAAGTCGTTTGGGGGAAATCATCAGCGGTTTTAAACATTTCGGGTTTCGTTTTGTGAAATTTGAACTAATTGATTTCCAGAACTGAACTTGGAGCGAGTCAACTCTGCTATATATCTGTTTGTAATCGGATTTTTGCTTGTTTGGTCTTTTCTGGTTGCAGGGGGCGTGCGTGCAGAACGTGCTGGATTCGCTCATCCCGGCGCTGCTCAAGGACGAGAACCGCAAGTTCATCTATGTAGAGCAGGTGCTCGTTACTGGCTTTCATGGTTGTGAATTGTAGATTCCGAACCTTGGACGCATCAAAGGTTGGGTAGTGGCAATGCTTATGGCGTTCAACTGGCTGATTGGAAGCAATGCACATTCACCTGTAATGATACTGTTGCTTGAGTGAGCATTTCGATTTGTGGAACTGGAATTGGACTGCTGTCCTTGTTGTTGACTCGGTGAATCGAAGTTCGATCAGCAGCTCTGCATCCGAATGCTTCACATCTAACTGCCACAGTGCAATGTGGGTTCTCTTTGGTAGGTTGGTATGTTTTTCCTGATCAGTAGTTTACTTGCGACCGCAGGCGTTCTTCCAGAGATGGTGGAGGAACCAGAATGACATGATCAAGGATACGGTGAAGGGGCTTATCGACGCTGGACGGCTGGAATTGATGTATGTTCGTTGGTTCCCGAGCTTTAGCTTGATAGCCTGTAGTCGTGTAGTTGTTTTTTTGCTCTGTAGTGAATCACATATTGCTTCTGGTGTTGAAGAAATGGGGGCATGTGCATGCATGACGAGGCTGCTGTACACTACATCGACATGATCGATCAGACTACACTCGGGCACAGGTTCATCAAGGAGGAGTTTGGTCAGATTCCACGGATTGGCTGGCAGATTGATCCCTTTGGCCACTCTGCCGTTCAGGCTTACCTTCTTGGCGCTGAAGTAATCTTCTGCAACCATACCCATTTATGCCACATCTTTACTTAGTAATACATGTACCTGTGTCTCAAGAAAAAGAAAAAAATACATGTACCCGTGCTTTTACTGGTCTATTACTCTATTTTCACGATACTGCTTTTGCATTTCAGCAACGATGTTATTATTATTATTATTATAAGAAATTTGACTCAATAACTGGTTAAGAAAATTACTTAATACCTAAATGTACCTTTCTTTTAGGACTGTAATTGTATATTCTACTGTTAGTGCTGCTACTTATATAGAGGACAGACAATAAGAAATCAAGGAAATTCTGTCATGTGGGCTGTGACTTCCCTCATTACTCATGTGATTGATACACTTCTCGACCACCAAACAGAACTATTGCATAAAGAAACATAATTTCGTATTGAATTGACAATTTGCCCCTGCAATGTTTGAAGAACATGTTAGGTTTGCTAGAAAACAGATTGCTTGGTAAATACCTTTCTTTTTGTCAGGTGGGATTTGATGCTTTCTATTTCTTCCGGATTGATTACCAAGACCGTGATACACGAAAGGGAACAAAAGAACTTGAGGTTGTATGGAGAGGCTCCAAGACCCTCGGCTCGTCGGCTGATGTAAGCGGCCTATCCCTTTTCCCACAGCACATGTCACACCTCAATTTGATTCACCGTTTATGCACACTTCCATAATCCATAGGTGCTAAGCCACCTTGTCAGAGTTCTGACATACTCAATTTTGTATGTAATGTTCGAAATCTGTATGTTTCTTTCAGATCTTTGCTGGCATCTTTCCCAAAAACTATGAACCACCACCTGGTGGATTTTATTTTGAAGTCGATGATGATTCCCCTGTCGTCCAGGTAGATTAATCAGAATTGAAATTGCTGTATACTGTTCAAACACTCAGGAGCCAATTCATGTCTTTCCTCTATTCAGGATGACCCTCTTCTTTTTGATTATAATGTTGAAGAACGAGTAAATGATTTTGTTGCTGCAGCTCTAGCGCAGGTACATTCAAATCTCAGTATGTTTATTTGTATGATGTGCACTCTTTGGTGCTAGAAACACTGCAAGGAAATCTATTAGCTTTTTAATTTATTTTAGACAAAGGTTAACCCTGCTTATATTGAAAGGATTTTAGCTTTTAGTCGAAGCTACTATAAACTGTACCTTATTAGTTTTGGCAACGTATCCTATGAGAACCAGGTTCGTGTGAGAACTATGAGAACTTCAATCTAGGCCACATGATTTTGATCCAATGGTGCGCTTGAATTCAGGTGGGAGGGGGGATTTGCAAAATTACTGCCCACTTAATCATATTTTTGCAAATTTCCCCTCCCACCTCTTCCTATGCGTCCCCCTTGGATCAAGATCAGGAGTTCTCATAGTTCTCATATGAATCTGGTTCTCATAGGATACGTCGCCGTTAGTTTTGGCTGGCCACCTCATTGTTGCAGTGGTAAGTCTTTATAACATATGAGACTGTAAAAGTTTGTCCTATCTGCATTTGGCATTAGTAATGGTTGTTTGGTTTAAAATATACTCAATGTATACAGCTTTGAGCCTAAGCTGTATTTTTTTCCCCTGTAGGCAAATATCACGAGGACAAACCATATCATGTTTACAATGGGAACAGACTTCAAATACCAGTATGCAGAGAGTTGGTTCAGAAATATGGACAAACTAATTCACTATGTGAACAAGGTTAAGAACGAGCATGGATATTACAGAAACTGAATAATTTAGTTCTTTTATTTTTCATTATGAACTCACGGCATTACTTAATGCATATCTCTTGAGTATAGTCATGATGATTTTCAGTTATGGCTTATGAAAAGCATTTGAGTTGTTTCTACGTGTATATATTGCGTGATGCACTTGATTTATTTCATTGCCATTTAGTTATATTAACATCATATATCCTTGCCTGTTTCATACTTCTCGTTTACTCTTATTTGTTTAAGGATGGAACTTCATTTCTTTCTACATTCAGACTGTGTAAACTAGCAAAACACTGAAATAAGTAGGAAATGGTATCCAAATGCTATTGCAAATATATGTACTCACCATACTTATCTTTTTAATGGCACCTCAGGATGGTCGTGTCAATGCTCTTTATTCAACACCTTCCATTTATACTGATGCAAAATATGCTGCCAATGAGCCATGGCCTCTCAAGACCAACGACTTCTTCCCGTATGTTTTTATCTTATTTTCACAACTAATATGATTGGTGTTCGTTTCAAAAATAAAAATAAAAATGATTGGTGTTGCCTAGCTCTTTCGGCACATGCATATGACCATATTATTTCTTCTACCAGATATGCAGATAACCCGAACGCGTATTGGACTGGTTACTTCACAAGCAGACCTGCCTTGAAACGATATGTCCGCATGATGAGCGGATACTACCTGGTAGTATCAAAATTTCCTTTATGCTTTTCTACTGCCCTTCAAGTAGCAATCATCAATTAACTCACTTGGTATTCAATTTTTTTTTCAAGGCAGCTAGGCAGCTGGAGTTCTTTAAGGGGAGACATAAGTCAGGTCTTACAACTAATAGTTTAGGCGATGCTCTAGCTCTTGCTCAGCACCATGATGCTGTTACAGGAACAGAGAAGCAACATGTTGCAAATGATTATGCAAAGAGATTGTCCATTGGATATACACAAGTGAGCTTCCCAACAGAATTGTTGAAATTTTTCCTTGTTTTTGTCCCTCTTTTTGGGTTTTGCTAACTCCATTGATATGATCCATTTTTCAGGCCCAGGAGCTTGTTTCGACTTCTCTAGGTTGCTTGACTGAATCAGGGTCAAAATCACGTTGTTCGTCCCCAACAACCAAGTTTTCAGAAGTTAGTCTGCAGCTTGTTTTCTCTGTAAAGAAGTAGAGCGCCCTTATCCATATATTCCTGTTAAAAATAATTTTGAATAAGTGTAT